TAACAAAATCTCCCAGAAGAAGGTTGAGAAGTGTAGGAGCAAATTACTGTATGAAGAAAATGTGACTTGCTGGCCTAGACCCTCGCATCGCTTACCTCTGTTGCACTGGTGCCACTCCCGCAACTCACACCTATGGCTGCACAGGAAACTCCCTACAACCAACTCACGCAGAAGGGATGATGTTACCCAACTCAAAGACAGTCTAGTATGACATGTTGGGGTTCTACAGAAATGGCCAACTGCCACAATATAGCTCCTCTCAGGAGTAACCCTAAAAAATAAGCATAGCCGCAAGGAGGTTCTTGACAACCAGTCAGATAAGTTGATCTATTTTCTTGATGTCAGCCAGCCTCTCTCCTTGGTCAGTCCACTGTTTACACAATACACTTGTGGACAAAGTGGCCATGAGGTCAGGCTCAGATCCTATTCATGGATTGAGAAGCAGGGCTCCAGAAACAGAGGGGAGGAACTAGGACCTGCCCCTCTTACTGTAATTCTCAATGTCACATGCAGTATTTGTACTTTCTGTCCCTACAACCTTATGTCTGCTGGATTTGAGATCCTTGTTCCTGGGGAGTATTGATTCCTAGAAAACACACTAAGTGCTCCTCTGAACTAAAAATTGCAACTAATTTGAACTCCTCATGCCAGTGGATAAGCAAGAAAGGAATTATTGTCCTGACTGCCTTAAGTGACCCTGACTGCCATGACGAGCAGGGGTTGTTGCTACACAATGGGACCAAAGACAAGAATGTCTGGAGTGCAGGACTCGCTGAGGCACCTCTTGGTGATTCTGTGCCCAGTGACAGTTATAAATGGGCACCCACAGCAACTGTGATCTGACAAAAGAAAACAACTAAAGGGTTCATATCCATCAGGGATGAGAAACAGTGTCAACCCACCAGGCAAGCAACTAGAACAGCCAAATACTGACTGAAGGTGTGGGACACAAGAATGGGTGACAGACAAGGGAGAACCGGGTGACCATTAGCAGTGACTCTGGACCAGCTACAGCACTGGGAGCTACAGCTTGGTTTGCTAAACCTTTTAAAATCTTATTTCAGGGATTGCAACTGACCACTACCTGGAAAAACATGCATTGCATCTCTCTTCTTGAGGAAGTAGTGAAAGTATCTTGTTCTCATACGAGATCTGGGATATAAGAGGATGCTAGAAAAGTGAATCAGTGCAAGAGATGCAGTATATGAGACTCAGGTTACGAACCATCCCAGACCTTCTCATCCCTGCCTACCCATATCCTGCTCAAAGTCAGCTGTTTACGTTGCTTTTAGCTATTCAGCCATTCCCACAGTAGCTAAGTCCCAACCACGGCTGCTGCCACTTCCATTGCCATCATACACTAAGGAGTCCCCACGTGCAGCCCAACTGACACGGGGAGACTAGTGCACTGTGCCCTGGAGACATTGGCTCCCCAGGGCTGCTCGGACGGGAAACACAGGGAGAAAAGGCCTGGTAGGGTGAACTTCACCACTAACAGAAAGCAGATGGGAAGGATGCTCGGAGATAAATTTCTCACCCTTCCTTCCCTACAATGGACTGCTCTGAGGTGCCATCTTTTCACATGGCTTCCCCGCAGAATCCTGTAAATCTAAGCCTCTGGCTGGTCTTGCTGTAAAGCTGCAGTCATCTCTGTGACTCATCCCCTTGTGTTTTCCCTCCTTCCTCCTCTGTCTCAATTCTCTCTGCCCTCATTCTTGCTTCCCTGGGAATGCACCCCCACCCTGTACCCCAATAAAATCTTAGAATGTTAGATTTTGCTGCAGGAACTTTTTCAATGATCTTGGGTTAAGACATTAGCTATTACAGTTTTAAAAAGTGTGCAATTCCCTCTTGTATGATACCATTTATATGAATTGTGCAGGGTGGACACATTACAGGGACAGAGAGTACAGCTACAGGCAGAAAGTGGTTGCCTCGTGTTGGTGGTGAGGGGGAAAGCGGAGCGACTGCTGATGGGTAGGGGGTTTCTTTTTGGGATGGTTAAAATATTCTCAAACTGATCGTGGTGGTGGCTGCACAATTGTGAACATACTAAAAACCATTGAGTCGTACATTTTTCATGGGTGAATTATATGGCATGGGAATTATATTTGAATAAAACTGTTATAAAAGAAAAAAATAATAATAAAAAGGGTGTAATTCATTGACGTCATATATACAGACACAGAACTTTCTATTTTTCCTTATATTTTCAAGTGCCATATGTGATGTGTTTCTAACTGTATGGACATTTGGAACAAAACAAATACTACATCTCAGCATCTCTACCAGCTGCTAGCTCCATAAAGACAAGTTCTTATTATCATAACCCTAACACCCAGCTGCATACCCAGCCCAGAGTGGATGCTAACTAAATGTTTATTAAAGTCTTCAGAAAAGACAATGGTGTGGAGGGGAAAGAGGACTAATGTAGGAGTTGGAATAACCTTGCTCAGCTCTTTCCTATCCCCCATGACCTTGGGCAAATCTCATGCTGAGACTCATTTTGGGGTCTTTGAAATAAGGACAACATCATTTCCTCACAAAATTGTTGTAAAGACTAAATGAGATGCAGCATATATGAAAGTCTCTTTGTATCGCAAAATGCTATACAAATATCAGCTACTCTTACTCATGGTAAGTGACTAAGTAGTCACTAAATTAAAAGGGAGAGAAAATGATGGGCTGGATGGAAACAGGGAAATGAGAGAACTAAAGAGAAACATGAGAAGATAAACTCAGTCAGGACCAAATGAAACTACTGGGAACATGATCCATGCTTCTTCCTCCTTCCAGGAGTACAACAAACTGAGACATCAGACACCCAATTTTCTCTCACATTTTTCCTAAGTCTCCTTATTCTTCAATTTAATCATTTAATCATCAGTTTACCAAATGGTTACTGAATGCACATAGGTACCACACCTTGAGCTAGGAAAAGGGCACAAGGTGTGGCCACTGCCCTCAGAGAGGACTAATTCTAATGAAGGAGGCAGACAGGTGAGCAGATTGATACAGTGGAGTGGAATTGGGGTTTTAGGTACACACAGGCCCCCACACCGGATTGGGTAATTTTTGATGAGCTGGGTACAATCAGAGAGAAGGAGATGATGACCAGGGATGGCTTCCTAGAGACAGGGATCCTCCAGGATGCACTTTAAAGAATGCAGCAGGCAAAGGAGGAAAGGGCAATCCAAGGCAGAGGAGACGAGACCGCAGGGCACCGTGTCAAAGATGACCCTGTATGTGATCTTATGGAACCCTTTCTGTAAACGATGGGGGCTCACTAAAGGGTTGTAAGTGGGAAAGGTGGCTTGATCCGATTTATGTGGAGAAGCTTTGCTGCTGTCCTCTGTGGATATCGCCCTTGCTGTAGGCAACTCTTCCAGCCACCTGCCACTGCCACTGCTCGGCCTTGGAACGGCCATGCAGCCTCCAAGGTACAGGTCAAATGAGAAAATTTTGAAACGTCACTGGGCTTGCTTGCTCTAATCAGAGTTTGCAGAGAATAAAGGCTTCCTGAACTCTCTGGCTCTCAAAAGAACAAAAATCAGAAAGCCTGTTAATATCTCTATTGAGATCTCACTTGTGTGATTTCCTTGTGACTGAGTCCCTATCTATCCTCTGAACAAGTGAAAGAAACCCTGATGAGTATAATCTGAGCACCAAAAGCTTTTACTAAAAATTTAAGCTTTACTACTCTCTCTTCCTTATTAGGCAATCCTCAAATGGAAATCATGAAATTGCTTTCTCTTCTCTTCCTATGTCCTACCAGTAGAAGAACACAGCATGTATCAGTGACAGATATAGACAGGCACCTGCGGGATTGGTCTGATAACCCACCACTTGGCCACAACCATTTATGCTACAAGTAGATTACTTTGAGGTAGGGTTGACATCCAAATGTAAATTGGATTTTTTTTTTAAAGAACAAAAGTCCCAGAATAAAGGAGCTCAAATGTTCTCACTGCAAAGAAATTACATATTTTCAAGATGATGAATATGCTAACTACTCTGATTTGACCATCACACATATATTGAAATATAACTCTGTACCTGATACATATGTACAATAGTCCCAACTCTGGGTCCCGGCTCCAGGACATTGGGAAACTTCCTTACTATATATTTCTGTTTCCTCATTTATAAAATGGGGACGATAATAGCATCTACCTTAGAAAGTTATTGTGATGCTTAAATAAAATTTAAATGCACCTAAAAAAAAAAAGAACGAAGATCCCATTAAATCATAAGAAGTGGCTAAATTCTACTGTTTTGCAAGTAAATTTCAACACGTTTATGTCATGTTAATCTCTTCCAAGGCAAAGAAACTTGAACAACAAACCAAGGTCTAAGGATGGAATTTTGGAAGTTCAGAGTTCCCAAGAAGACAATAATGTCTTGGGTTCACTAAGGGCATGGAAATGGCTCTCTCTCCCTTTCACCATTACACTCCCGCTCCTGTCCAGCTCCCCAGCACCTGTTCAAAAGGAGGAAGGCCCCCAACATTGGGGAAAGGTTCAGTCGGGGACTGAGGGAACCAAGGACTGCTTGCTCTCCTCCCAACTCTTCCCCCACATCACAAAGCTCCCGTCTCGTCTGCCAGACACAGCATCTCACCTGCCCTCCCCACACAGCCTGCACAGCCTGCACAGCCAACCACCACCACACCACTACCATTATCACCTCCACCTCTACCACCAGCACCACCACCACTACCACCACGGCCAGTTGGGAAGGATTATTTTTAAAACTTGCAATATCAACACCTACCAAATGCAAAGAAACATCATATTTGATTTCTTTCCAAGTTACCTTACAAATATGCTCTTTCAAGCATAATGAAAATACTCAGACATAAATGGCTGCTTAAAACTGCCCCCTCTGCAGTTCTCTATTCTGCTCCAAAGATATAAAAAAAGAAATATGGCCAAGTATTACAGGCCCCTTACTCAACAGTCATTGTATTAACTTCAATTGCAAAAAAAAAAAAAAATTCACCAAATGTTTAAAAATCTGCTTTAATTACATTTTCATTAATTCCAGGAAGAACTTCATTTCAGTTAATGTTACAAAAAAAGCACAGAGGGACAGATGAACATGCAATAAAAAAATGGATTCACAGTGAAAATAACACATCAGTACTAAAATATAGTTACCTGGTTCCCTGAAGGGAAAAGGTGTCTTCTAATTGTCTGCTCACTTGGATTTTATTATGAGAAAATATTTTTCTTTAAGCTTTGGGGAAGTTTTCAACGTGTGCTGCTGTGACTGTTGGAGTCTGACAGCAGTCCCTCATTCTAGAGCCATTGTCTGCAGTCTATAACTTAATCCCAAAATTCAAAACTACAACAAACAGCTTGGCAACCGGGTTCTTGTTACATACAAAGCTGTTAGCAAAAATATGTAACAAAATTTATGTAAAACAAACAACTTTGTCCTTATATACAGAAGTGTGTTTTCTTCCTCATATCCTCACAGCCTACTCTAAAAGGGGACGGGGAGGAAGTGGGGAGCAGCTACGATCCCCTTTAAACTCTTTTTGGGTAGGGCGAGGAAATTTTAAAAGGCAAGGTAACTATTTTAATCTTTTAGCTGAGTTATAAAAATGCATCTGGGCTTTTGGACAAAGAAATAAAAGTAGGAAAAATGATAACAGCTTAAAATAAAGAATTCATTCCTTTGTTGTTTGCAAAGTCTCTTAATGAACTCAACAGAGAGTAAAAATGACTACATTGGTGACTGCGATCTGAGGACACAGTAAAGAGCATCTTGGTGAAAAATACGTACATTATAACCCAAGCTGCTGAGAAGTTACATCTAGGGCATGCACATATTTCATACCCATACAGTTTACAACACCTCAGGGGGAAAGATCGTAGGGACAGGGACTGTCACCAAATCTATATACCGACACATAAACAGGGAAAACACATGAAGTCAAAGGGAGGCCAAAAATATGTTTAAAAACACATTTGAAAATCATTTCAAAGCCAAAGACCATATTTACTGAAAACTGAAAACTCTGACATTCTACAGAATACCTTGTAAACATTGAAAATGCAGTGGTATAGAATTCACAGTCTCAAAAGAAAATAAATTTCTGGTTTATCATCACTGCTTGGCTCAGTCTGCAAAACCGAATTATCTGAACAAAACTGGTCGGCGTAGCCAAGGCGAAGGGCGGTGCACGCGCCCTCCGGGAGGCCGCGGCCCTCCAGGCCCCGCTGCACGCTTCCCAGGTAGCCCGCGATGTAGGAGCCGGTGGAGTGCCGGTTCACCGCCGGGCCGGCGGCTGCGGGTCTGTTCCTAAGCACCACTCCTCCCCCGCTGCCCGGGTTCACAACTCTTTGCTTGTTGGCTTCCTGTTTCTCCTTGGCACGACTGGCAATATTGCGCACTCTGCTCTGACTTCTGGATGACAACTTTCTGACCAGCGCCCTGGGGAACTGATTGGCGTCCTGCTTTGAATAGAGCACGTGGCAGCTGTCTTCCTGGTCAAAGGACACGAGCTTTCGCAACTGTGCGGTCAGGGCATCGATAGGCTCTAAGGACTTTGTCTTCACAGTCACACCCTTCTTGTCTCGAATGCCAGTTGTAACAAAACTCTTACTAATACACTGGTACTTGCTCTCAAAATTGCAGGTGATGTCCTCTGACGTTAAGTCCCCCAGACTTTTGGATTTGCAAGGACTGGGCAGTTTCAGAGCAGGCAAAGGAGGATGTGTGGACTGCTTGGGTGCAGGGGGAGGCATATCTTGAACACTAGACTGCTTCATTTTTGAACAGGTCTGGTTCATTTTTGCATCTGAATTTGAGAAATGGTTATGCACTAAGCCAGCACCCTGATAGGACAGACAAGAATTACCTTGATTTTTTACATCTTGAATATTTTTGAATATTTCAGGGACAGAAGGGTGGAAAGTCTCTTTACAATAGCCATTTCTTAAACCTCTTTGAAAGTATTCCACCACATCCTGTCTGTACTTCAGTTTTAAAGGAGAAGCAATTTGACTCGTGCCCTCTCTCCTACATTCATAGGTTGTTAGAGACAGATTTTCTGACTCTCCATCAATTTCTACAAGGCTGCTATTTTCAGAATTTAAGCAGAGAGTGGGATCAGCTATTATTTCCTCCAGTGTCAAGTCTGCAGAAGTGGCAGGGCTGCAGCTCTTCAGTATTTCCCAGTCTTCTCCATTGGTGGGACTTTTTGGCAGCCAGCCATGAGAAGTATTAGGGGACCCAGGCAGCTTGGGTTCCATGGCCCTTGTCTTGGCCTTACCAGAAAGGTCATTATCTGGTTTGGTTTTAGAGATGGGAGTATAGGTAGTTTCATGGACAGCTGTGTATGCTGCATGTTTGGTGGTCTTCGAACTTGGGAATGCAGTCAGCTCAGGAGATGAGCACAGGAAGGATGCCTTGGGTTTTCCCTTGGCAAAACCATGCTTAAAGGGCATTTGTAGGCCCAGGGGAGGCAAGGGAGGATGACCTGACTTCACGCTGGTACTATGAAGATGAGAAAGGACTGTAAAGCTAGCCTGACTGCTGGTTTCCTCAAACTGGCCAATCAGCGCTGAGATGGAACTGCCCGGCTCACTCTCATTTGTTAAAGTGACATTGTCAATAAGATGGGAAATTTCACTCCCCTGCAGAATCGAAGTTGAATGTAAGTCAGGTGTGTCAGAACAGAGCGTGGAGACATCTGATAAAGAAAAGGATGTTGCAGCTCTACCCTTACCCTTATCACCTTCCAGGTTCTTAATCTCCAGATTGCTTTGAGAAAAGACGCCTCCTGACAATGTGCTTTTACCTTCCAAGGAGCCCTCAGTATTCCTCTTTTCCTTGGTTTTCACACCATGCAGATCTTGTGTTAGGTTAACCACAGGATCAAGAGCCAAATGCTGTCTTGGGGAGAGAGATTTGCTGGGACGGTGATTTTCCTGGCAATCACTTGTCACATTGGATTTGGTTCCCCCACCCTTAGGACCTGGCACTCCCAACTGCTCTTCTGTGATTGACATGTTGGCAATAGAAACAGTGGAGTCTCCTTGGCAGGGGTCTTTGTGGAGGAGCACACTGGAGGAGGAGGAGGAGAACTTTTTGTTGAAATTTGGAGAACGCGGATCTTTTGTACTTCCCTTCCCTTTTCTTCTGCCATCCTCATCTTCTGCTGAGTGAGACAAACAACATTTTAGGTGAATGTATCACTTAACGTAGGACCTGCAAACACTCATGTTTGTCTTCAGACAGACAAATGGATAATGTGAATCTGTTACACTGTGACAGAATATAATTATGGATTGCATATGTTTGCAACAAAGTGTCTGTGTGATGAATCAATGGTAAAATATATTTATAGGAATTTCATTGAAGCTTTCCTGTGAGTATCTATTACATCAGTTACAGATGTAATATTCATTGTCAAAAAAAATGTCAATGAGTTACCATATTTTTACGGTGAGAATTACCTTGTTTCCTATTCAGATTTGTACTACACAGAAGCATGGCAATAAAAACAGAACAAGACAGCTCTGTTAAACAAAGTATTGTGGCACCTGTAAGCAAGACACTATAAGCTTTCAAAGTTATACATGTATTAATAAAAAATCAAATAATATCATTTTTAAAAGTTTGGCAAAAGATTTAATTTAACCAATTAATTTCTAAAATAACTGGAGGTGCAATAAATGCATTAAAATATCCACATATATTGACTTAAAATGTAAAGATAAAGAACTGGTCATCAATTCTATGTCATTGCTAATATCTAATTTTTTGTTAATCATACTTTTGTTTTAGATACACAAATTTCATATTTCATTCTTCCCTAAAATTGGCAGCAAAATGTCAGGTACAGTAAACTATAAAATCACACAATTAACAGTTATTTGGGATAGCCCATCATGGTTAGTATAGTGCTAAGATATTAGATGTTCAACTCTTGATCAGATTATCTTAATCACCTTTTAATGCTTTTAGAGTCATGATACACAAGAAAAAAGAATTTAACTTTTTATTAAATATTTTCCTAACTAAAAAATACTTCATCATAAAAATTTTGAAACTCCCAAAAATTATAAAGAAAAAATTAAATATCCTATGAAGTTACCACTCAGAGACAACCACTGCAAGCTTTTGCAGAGGAACAGGATAAAGTATAGAATTTTGTATTCTTTTTCTCCACTTAATTTTTTTTAATGAAATTTAACTTGAATCATTGCATGACTACGTATTGTTCCATGTTTACCATAATTTTAATAAATATATGACTAATTTATATAACAGTTTTTTAAAGGTAGGAAAGAAACATTGCCTCAGTATTGCTTTCTAACTCACCTTAAGTGTATTAACATCTTAACTGTGGCATTAGCAGGATTAATTATTACCAATTTCTACTGAATATAGATTTATTTTCCCCAAAGATGAGGCTTTTAAATAAAATTTAAAGCACATATTTATTTCATCTCTTCTCTGACACTGCTCTTAGCAAAATTTCATACTTTTAAACTCTCTTTTGCTCCTTCAAACAAACTATTCAAGAATTGTTTTTTCTCCCTGGAATATCTTACTACAAAAATTGATATAAGCAAAATGGTGTTTGCTGGGAAATACATCATTGATATTAGATCATTTGATAAAAGAATAATTTTGCTAAAGAAAACAGGTATTACATTCTACGTGTCTGAGATGATTCTAATTTAATTAAAATGTGTTTGTTCCAGAGACATCAAATGGACATGGTTTTGGCATTTAAATTACCTAGAGTAGGACAGGAGAAGGGAGTCACCAACACAAGTCAAGAGTTCTCTGGCACACCAGAAGGCAGTCACCACTCTTTACTGAGTTCCTGATATGAGTCAGCAACACGCTCAAATTAAGGGAATAAATGGACAGCGCCTGGTCCTTATGTGTGTGGAGATGACAGCTGGGCACGAGGGGCAGATGTGCTCCCTTTTCTGCCAGCATCCAAAGGTCAGGGAAGTGAAGCCACAGGAAAACACGTCTTGCGCCACCCTTAGTCTTAGGGAAGCAAAGACTTTTCAAGTGAAGAAGACGGTTTGCTTTTAACGTCTGGCTTTCCTTCTCCATAAGCATTTCCAACAATGGAAATGTGTTTTATGGTGGGTAAAGTAATACGACCATCTTCAGCCTCAGAGCAATCAATAAATATGGTCCCACTTGGAAAACCAATAATTCTACTCGTATTTTGCTGGTTTTTTCCTCCCTCCTTCTAGCCTTGCAGACCCACACGCTCCAGGCCATCACACCTAAAGCCCCCCTTATCTCTCACTGTCAATGTCAGGTGTCAACTGTTATTTTAAAGCTTCAGGTGAGAAGGAAATAGCTCTTCTACCACCCTCCATCCAAAGTTTGAAATCTTCTGGTTTAGAAGACAACATTAAAAATTATTTATTTTTCAGTACATTTTACTTTGACTACAGAATGTCAACCATGTCATAATGGGCCAAAATACAGCTTACAAGGGTTTATTCTTAGAAAAATGTAAAGTATCTTACCCCGAGAGTTTTCTTTTCCTTCTGTATCTTTTGCTGTTTCAGATAAAGGAAGTGACAAAGCTCCCAGAAGACTTTTGTCAACAGGCATAGAGACAGGGCGAATTTGCAAACTCCGTGTGGTCCTCCGCAGGACACCATCTTGATCTCTTGTGGCCTCAGACACAGAATCCTTTATCTCTACCATTTCTTGGAAGCCCATTTTGCTCTTTTTCCTGTCCTTGGCTGGAGCACTGGCTGTGCGTCGCAGAATTCTATCTCCAATCGATCGTTTCCGGACATAATGGGAATTGTTTTCTGAAGAACTGTGCCTGGGATTCTTATTAAACAGTCCCTTCAGACCTTGGAGCTGTCTGTTCTGAAGACACAAAAGGACCAACCACAAGTTAAGTAAATGCCACTGTGTCAACAACTTGCCTTTGACATGGCAGTTCCATGAAAAATGAGTACAAGATGAAATTTTACAGCATTGAAGTATATTCAAACCAAGGAAACAGCAGCTGATAGCATGTTTGCACAATGTCATGCACCTCTCATCAACCTTACTTTGTAAGAAGTCAGCTTTCCATTTTCACAGCCAAGCTTTCCCAAAAAGTCACCTACCCAGAAATGACAAGGTAGTGGGAAAGTTTCCACAGTTATTAACTGTTACAAACTTCAGCTGCCTTCAAGCGACAGACACACGTTTCAAAGTGGTAAGCAGGAAAATGGAGTGATATGAGAAAGCATGCCGCCAGAACCATTCAAAAAGAAATATGCCAGCGAGAACAAAGCATCATGCTGACAAACTACCTTTGTAGCTCCTAGAAAGTGCAATATAGTATAACTGGGGTTGAGTATTAAAGGGCTCCACTGCAAAGGAAAAACAAAAACACAACAAAACACAGTTTGGGCTCATTTAAGAAGGTGGCATAAGTAAACACAAAAGAAAAATGCATATATTCCTTTCTCCTGGTGTTGGTGATTCAGTCTTACATTCATTCATCATTCAACCAACCCCAGCACACTGTGGTATATGCATCCCAACCCCAATTGAACACACCATGGACATTTACTTAGGAGAGAAAACAGAAGTCCTGTAGGTACTTTATTTCTCATATTTTAATTTATTTCTGACTCAAGTTTTAAACAAATTCTGAATTTTATCTTTTCCCTCAATCATGATAAATGCTAGAGATACTACATAGTTAACCTGGGGTTCCTAGAATTCAAAAATCATTTCTGAATCATTTACATTTGTGTCTATGTAGACCATGGAAAAGATCTCAACAAGTAACACAAATAGAAACACAGGACTAAACACAGAATGGAAAGCTATAAAACTTCTCCACTCTTAGAAATTAGGATCCTTAGACCCTCCTCTAATTCAGGCTGAATTGGTCCATTCTTTACCAATGGGGTTGTAAGAATAATAATGTTAATATTGACCATATTTTTGAGCATTTACTATGTACCAGGTAGTTTTTTAAGGAAAATAAATACTTATATACTTTACTTATGAGGTAGGTACTAATTCTATCCCACATTTACAGGTGAGGAAGCTGGAGCGCAAAGAGTCAATATACCTCTGGAGGAGAAGCTCCAGGCTATACAGACTTGCTGGTAAAAAGCACTGGACATTCCTAGGCCCTATTCCAGGCTCTTACAATCCTTCCAAATCACATCTGGTCCTAAAAATTCATACTACTAGCCAAGTCCCCAATTACTTGGCATGACCAGAGGACAGCCAAATGATTTATAAACCTCCAGGGAGCTCTAAAGTGAAGAGAGCTGCATCAGGAAAGAATTAGAATAGATTTTGTGGACTTTTAAGTCCTATGGTGGCTTTAAAATTCATTCACAAGTTTTACATTTTCAGTTCAAAACAATGGCATAAAATGGGTGCATCCTGCCTAGAACTGGCTGAGATAACAGCCCAGATAGCACAGGTAATTCATCAAACATCTGAGACATCATATTTCCCCTATAGCCAGCTGGATCTTTTTAAGGATTAAAATCAAATTCAACATTTAACTATGTCTTCATTGTTTTAGCTAAACATATGATTTCTTGAGCGAATAATACTTTTCTCAATTCTGTTAAGCCTAGAGAGGACCCCTGGGTGGAAGGAATGAGTACACACTTCTAACCAGTGGAAAGAGCACAGGTGGATGGGGACATGAGAGGGACAGCAGGCTGGGCTTCCCTGTAGTTTCCTGTTAAGAACAGTCTGTCAAAATATATATTCCTTTTATGCAATTATAGATGGTCCCTGACTTAATAATGATTCGACTTAATTTTTCGACTTTACAATGGTGTGAAAGCCATAGGCATTCAGTAGAAACTGTATTTCTAGTACCCATATGACAACCATTCTGTTTTTCACTTTCAGCAGTTTTCAATAAATCACATGAGATACTCAACATTTTATTATAGAATAGGCTTTGTGTTAGATGACTTTGCCCAACTGTAGGCTAATGTAAGTGTTCTGCGCACATTAAAGGTAGGCTAGGCTAAGCTATGATCTCCGGTCAGTTAGGTGTATTAATACATTTCTGACTTAATATTTTCAGCTTATGATGGGCTTATTGGGACGTAACCCCATCGTAAGTCAAGGAGCATCTGTAGTCGATCAGGAACTGTGTTGAGGATCATATTATTGCTGGATGTGGCTTTAAGCCCTATGATCTTTCTCACCTTTCCAAAGATTTCATTGATTGTTATGTGGACAAATATGGATGCTTCTGTCAGTCCTTCCAGATAGACATGCCGGTAGCCTGATAAAAGTAAAGAAAGTCATTAGTTGAACTTGCATTTAGCTTTTCCATGTGGGAAACAGAAATGAATATCTGATTTGACTATATATAGTTCCTTACATTTTACATAAGCATGTTAACAGTCATTATCATATGACACATTTTATATATCACATATGCTATCATATAAGTCACACATCATATACTAAATTTTCCAAAGGAAAAGGAATGGTCAGTCTAGAGAGAAAAGGCTGGCTCATACCTACCAGGCACTAAGCTGCTGAAGGTCACAGTTCTTTGTCCAACAAAGTCTCGTCCAATGGGATCATGATCCCATACGAGGAACCGAACCAAAGCTATTTCTGGCATGTGTACTGTAAATGTCAGGGTTTCTTCCCACACAGGGTTAAATCCTCAGAGAAACAAGAAAAACAAAATCAGAAAAGCATAGGGCTTGGCTGAAAATCAGTTGGCAGCACATTTACAAAGCAGACAGTGAAAATTGCTTGCAATGGTTATTAAACACACAAAGACAACCAAGCCACTTCAGGATGCCTTATTGAAATAAAGTCTTGGAATTTACCCCACAGCTAGGAAATAATTGGTAAGGAAATTGCCTGTAAATTGTCACAACAGTTCTATTAATCTTTGATGCCCAACTGTACTGTAGGGAAAGCACTTTAATATTCATAATACTTCAGTAAGTTCAAAAATTATCTATAGTAGTGACCTAAGAATAGTGTTTTAGCAAAAATAAAGAATGACACCCCCAATAGAATTATGCTCCTCAACTACCAAAGATTCTGCTACTGTAAAACCCACTGTAAACCATTTTATAAGATGCTTGCAGGTTTTAACACTATTGTTTGTATATTATTTCTATCTAATTCTCATAGTAATTCTTTAAAAGTGGCAGTGTGAGATTTTGTTTTTATTTTTTCCTAATTAAGGAAAAACATATATTGCTGACTTTCAAAAATAAATAACTTTTAAAAATTACACATCACATGCTCATTTTTAAAAGTAGGAAACATCAGTATTTATTCATTTATTGTTATTTTTTAAAAATTGTTTTAATATATATTTTTTTACATTCTATGATGTTGTGGAGCAGTTGGGAGGGAGGGAGAGAGGGGAAAGGGGAAGGAAATGGGATGGAAGAAGGAGAAAGGAGGGGTGGGATTGAGGCCTGTGGCACCCCCCTTATTCCCACAGGGGAGACCAGGAGGCTTCCAGTGAGGGCGTGGTCATTGCCGGGCTGGGTGCAGATGTCACGGGGTTGTGGCAAAAGCTCTCACACCCCACCACCCCAGCTCAGGAACCTGGGGACCTTTTTGCTGCAGCTTGGGGGGTCATCACTGGGCTGGTTGCACGTGTCTGGGGGTGAGGTCCAGGCCCCCAGCCCCCACTGCCCAAGCTCAGGAGAGCCTGGGGTGCTTCCTGTGGAGGCTCGGTGGTTGTTGCTGGGCTCGTTGTGGGTGCTAGGGGGGCATGGCCAAGGCCCCTGGCCACCCATTGCCCTGACTCAGGAGAGCTTGGGGAGCTTCCTGCAGCAGTTCAGTGGTCATTGCTGGGCTGGTTGTATGTGTCAGGTGGCATGACTGAGGCCCCCAGCCCTCCCCCTTTCTGGCTTGGTAGCCCAGGGAACTTTGGTCCTCCTTAGTGTTGTAGGTGTTCTTTACTAGTGAAATGAGGCCTTTACTAGTTAATATCAAACTTTGTCTCTGGTTGTGGGTACTTTGTTTTTTCTTTCAGTTCTGTATTGGATTATTTGCTATTCCCACCACTTAAGCTGCACTGGAACTAATTTGTTGTCCTTTGCTTGCTTCTAAAATGGGGGAACTTTCGGTGGGGACAAGAATTTGAGCTCTGTGGTTGAGCTAAATTGCTGCTTTGCTGCTGGTTCCCTGGGGAAGGCTTTTTGTGCAGCTCAGGTTTTAATGGTTGACTTCATAGGTACTTCTGGCTCTCGTGAGATCTGGTGCACCTGGGTTGTGTGGAAACTCTTGTCTGGGCCTGAGTCTTTTCATCAAACTGCACCCCATGCAATTCTACATTCCTGACCAGTCTCCTCTGAGTGGGTCCTGTGCTGATTGGGGGGCAGATCAACTGTCTTTGCTAGGCCCCGTGTTCCCCCGGTGGGGCCATCTCCCCAACTGCCCATGCTGCAAACATTTACATGGGACGGGCCCTGTGCTCGTTCCTTGCGATGACTCACTGGCCTCTGAGTGGCTCCTTCTTTTCAGTTGTTGTGGCTCCTTGCTCCTATGTGGGTCCATGGGAACCCTATTACTGGTCTTGCTGGCCCAGAGGCCACCACGGCCCTCTTCTCCCCTGCAGCCTCCAAGCTGTGGCTTTTGCCAGCTCCTGCTCTGTGTGCTCAGCAGCTCCAGCCTGGAAGCAGCCAGGATTCAAAATGGTCACAACGTTTTTTTCCCTCTCATTGTGGCTTCTGCCTTCATAAACTCTGTAGGTCTTTCCTCCTCTTCCCCTGAGCTCTAGCGGCACCAACTTGGCTGTTGTTGCTTTTTTATAGTTGCAAATTGGTCGATTTGCGGGAAAGAGTGATGTTGGGGACTGCCTATTCTGCCATCCTGACTGGAAGTCAAAACATCAGTATTTGTAACTCATTTTATGGTTGAGAAAATTGATGTTCATAGGAAATAATGTGCCTAAGGTCATAAAGTTAGTGACAGAGCCAAATTAGACTGTGCACTATCAATTCCCAGTGTCTTCTCATGAAACAAGGCCTTACTACATGAAAGTCATATATTTTCAAAGCTACTGAAAATGAATAGAAAAAGTATATGATTCAACTCAAATACTAAAAGGCAAAAATACATTTACTTCTTAGAAAAATTCCCTCAGACAGAGTAATTATAAAAACTGATAAAAATTAAAGTACATCATAAATTTCTGCTTTTTCTTTCTAAAAACATGAAAGTACATCTTATTAAATGCATGCATTCAGTAGGTATTAACCATTTACCCCTATAAACAGCTTCAAGCTAATAAAACAATGATGGGCTGAAAGTCACTGAGATGCCCCTCCAGAACAAGAGAGATTATCTTTTTGTTGACTTAGTGATGACCTCCCAATCACTTGAGACTAAAGAAAGAAATAATCTATTGAGCATTGGAGGGAAAACACAATATAGGAAGGTTGCTTTCTTTAAGCATGTTATTTCCTAAGTAATTGGCCTGCCCTACTCTTGAACTCCCATGTTCCTTCAAGGTCTCCCTATGGAACTATAATTTCTCAAATGTTTTCATGATTAGGGTTTAAACTTATTCTAGAGTATTAATGACTAGAGATTGAGAAAAATAGGTATGCAATAACATTTGTCCAATGTATGAACAAATGAATACAATTTTAGAAGATGACCAAGAAAAAGACATAAGGCTTGGGTAAAGAAAGCTTTCTTTACGTGATGGCCAAAATATAAGAAAAATGCTGCCCATTCACTACATGTACATATTCAAGAAGGAAACTTGCCAAAGCGCTCTGTACTTGTCTTTAGAGTTTTAAATTCTCCAGAAAAGATAAGAAATTATCAGGACATGTAGGCTTCACAAATGAGAGCTTTGAGGAAGCTCATGTCATAAAAACACATTTCTATAACAAGTTGTTTTCCTAAGTGAATTTTTAACCCAGTTCTTTAAAAAATCATATATTCTTGTCACTAGAAAGAATTTTTGCTCCAAAAGCAGAAGTCCTGAGGAGCTAGATTATGATACCAATAAAACATACCATGCATCGATCCCACAGTTACTTAGTTTTATGTGCTGAGAAGATCTTAACAAACTCAAATGGCATTTATGGATATTAAAGACTAGTTGATCTTCTACATAGACTCATTTTTCTTTTTCAGTACAAATTCTATTTCTAGAACATCCTCATTAAAGTGAACACAGACTGTCATCTTACCATTGTCATCCACCACACGGGTTTGATCTTTACAACAATCTACTGGCAATCCAATAATTTCAACTTCAACAAAAGGATCAATGATCTACATAAGCAGAAATAAAGTATTATTCAAATGATACACTTCTACACATATGTTAATTAATCTGAGAACATTGGCCAAAATGTTCACATTTCAACAGCAACCAATTTTACTAGGTGCTTACTAAGAAAGAAGAATGGTACTAGGTGTAGCAGATTCAGATATACAAGACAGAAGTTTTAAAAAAAAAAGATATTAAATTCTTGTTTGCCAATTTCTACTAGTGCTACATGAACTTTACCTAATGAACCCACAATTTCAGTTCAGGGTACATACCCAACAGAAATGAGAGAATTTGCCCAGCACAAATGCTCAGATCAGCTGTCTTCATAAGTCAAACACTGGAAACAACCTAAATGTCTATCCCACCCAGGATGGCTAATGTGGAATATTCATTTAATAAATACCATATAACAGTGAAAAGAGAACAAAGTTCTGCTATGTAGATATAATGCTGAGCAAGCCAGACATAAAAGAGTATCTACTGTAAGAGTCCATTTATGTTAACTTTGAGAACAGACAAAAATTAGTCTGATGGTGACAGGGGCTGGGTTTTGCTATGCAGAGGTAGATATTGACTGGGAGGGTTGATGGGAGCCTTTTTGGGATTTTGAATACGTTGTCCTGACCTAGGTGGCATAATAATTAAACAAGCTATCTGCATTTACATTAAGATTTTGCACACCTTAATGTAGTTAAATTGATTGTGTATTATAATGTAAATTTTGCATTAAAAGGCAAAAAGATTAAAAAGTAAATCAAAAGAAAAAAATACTGTGTTTAGTCTTCCTCTGCCCCTGCCCCTGCCTGCTCTCCTCTGTGGGGAGGGATCCTGCTTTGTGGGTCATCTGTCAGCTCTCGTATATAGTGCAAGCTCAAGGAGCTGAGCAGTGAAGAAAGAAAAACCGAAAGGATCCAGAAAGAACCGATCTAAGAAGTCTGAAGGGGAGAGAGTTATGAAGACTGAGAAAACATATCTTTAGGAACTGGAGAGTCAGGAGAAGGTGCAGTTTGTTGTTTTTTTTTTTTGTCTTTTTCCGTGTCCGGCAACGGATCGCAACCCTCAGTGTTGCCCCCGTACCGGACCGGGGACCGGCAACGGGACTGCAAACCTCGGCGTTGCCCCCGTGCCTCGCTCAGCCAGTGAGCGGGAACCGGTCTGTATGTGGGATCCGAACCCACGGGTGGGAGCGCCGCCGCGCTTCCCAACCGGACCGGGGACCGGCAACGGTATTGCAACCCTCGGTGCTGCTCCCGCGCCTCGCTCAGCCAGTGAGCGGGAACCGGTCTGTATGTGGGATCCGAACCCTCGGGTGGGAGCGCCGCCGCGCTTCCCAAGCGGCGCACTTATCCAGTGCGCCACCGGGCCGGCCCAGAAGGTGTAGTTTTAAGGGTAGCTTCAGGGCCTAAGAGCTGGAGCTATGATGGAAGAGTCTGCTGAGATAACTAAATGGGTACACATATTATTCATTTACCAGATAAACATAGTTAAAGTTTAATCATTTTAATTAAATTGATTGTTTCATGCTAGAATTTTTTCTTTGGAAAAGAACCCTGTGAAAAATTAGACCACTGGGGATCTTGGATTTTGGGGGGGCGCTGATGAATAGGATTTCTGTTCTTGAGGAATTCAAAACCACAGGCTTGGAGAACAAATTCCTGTTTCACAGCATGGCTCCTGGGCTGACCTTGGGCACACTGTGTGACTGTTCTGTGCTTCAGTTTCCTAATCTGTAACCCCAAATAACAGTGCCTGCCTTATCTGTAATCCAGGTGAGATAGCAGAAGATTGGAATCAGATAGTGGCAGCAAGACTGGGGAAAGACTTGGGAGGCAGAAAGGTTCTTCCCATTTCCCAGGAGATGGAAAGCAAAGAAAGGGAAAAAATTAAAGATGGCGATTGATTTTCATATTAGGAGAAAAATTCTTATTCTGTTCTAGAGAACGGTAGCACACAGTGCTACGGGTCAGTAGATACTTGAGATGGAGTTTTTGGAAGTATGAAAGTGCAGAACGGGCCGGCCCGGTGGCGCACTGGATAGTGCGCCGCTTGGGAAGCGCGGTGGCGCTCCCGCCCGAGGGTTCGGATCCCACATACAGACCGGTTCCCGCTCACTGGCTGAGCGAGGCGCGGGAGCAACACCGAGGGTTGCAATCCCGTTGCCGGTCCCCGGTCCGGTACGGGGGCAACACTGAGGGTTGCGATCCGTTGCCGGACACGGAAAAAGACAAAAAAATAAAAAATAAAAAAATAAAAAAAGAAAGTGCAGAACTCTGTAGTTTCCTTGATCAACATTAAAGATCCAGAAATGTGGTCTAACGGGTGGGAGAGGCAAAGAGCCTGAAGTGATGAACCAGCCCTGAGAGGAAGGATACAGGCATAGGAGGGGCTGACAGGTAGGGAGAAAACAGACGCCAAGAAGGCCAAGACCAGGTGTAATGGAAATAATAGAACAAAAGCTCTGGAAAGAGAAGAGGCTATGGTCACAGGGAGACATTTTAAAATCATGTTGCAGAGCTATAGCAGGTGGTGACAAGACCTAGCATGTGGCCAGGGAGCAGGTTGCTGATATGCAGTAGGAAGAGGGTGGCAGGAGATAAGGAATGTGGATGGGAGACTGCGACATATTCTTAGGTGATATTTCTATGAATAAAATTGTTCTTTGCACCCCAACTTTAGCATTAGCAGGGTCAGCCTTGAATTGTGAATTGAATTCCATGTACTCATGCTACCAAAATAGATGGTGCACTGCAGTCCAGCAGGAACTGTGTGTGATTTGCCAATAAGTCAATTAGTGTTCATTTATGAATCCACACACAATCCTGAAGACATTTCAGATGAAATGGAAGCAATAAAACCACACATAATTAACCACTTAGCCACATAGTCATGTGCAGCTTACCTCGCCTCGATCTCCAAACACAGAGTCTGGAGGCTTGGGGAGTTGCTGCCCACTGATCACTTTCAGGATGAGCTGCTTTTTGGGGTTGGCAGGAAGTGGATCACCAGAGAAAGGGTTGAAAGTACCTAGGCCAAATAAAGCAGAGATTGGTAATATGGGAACACACACACACACACACACACACACACACACAGTATAAGCTTGTAAAACGAAGAAACAACAAATGCAGAGTTGTTAGTGTTTCTTAGAGCAAAGAAATTATCACATAACTATCAGTGTGGATTTTGCCTGAAGTCAACAGCAGATGGCATTTCCATAGCTGCGGTTTTCATTAGAATCCATGCTCCCAAAGCCAGAGGGATGGGCCAATTTAAAGCAAGTGTTCGCAGGGCAATTATCAACCATGGCATGGAGGAAGAGAAGCACTCTATTTGAATGCCAAAAGTATAAGAAGAGGAGAAGTTATGTCAGATTCAGATAATTTTCTAACCTAAACCATCTCAGGTATAGAAAGAATATAACAAGTAACAAACAGAAAGAAGGCCTGAAATTAAGTAAATAGCAAAGCAAGAAAATGCTCAAAGCATAAACTCCTGAAGACAAATCTGTCAATACTTATTTTTTCCTGAATTATTATAAATCCAATTTGGAAAATTTAAAAAGAAGTTTAATGACCAGAACCAAAAGAAAGTGTTCTTTGATCTAACACTACATTATCCTCTTTTTAACAATGCTTTGTAATCAGAGTACACTGACTAAAAGGGCTTGATACAATTGTTTCAGGTAGAATTTCATTTTGCCAGCAGGTCTCAGACTCCCATTCCCTCAGACACTTTCTGAAAGATAGGATTCAGGCCTTAGAAGGAAGTCCAATTCATAAGTCATGCCCAGTGAATATCATATTGGGACACTGGACTTCAGATGACAACCATTGCTATCCATGTCCTTCTTGACATGCATAACCTCACAAGAAAACATTCTAAACACCATGTTACCCAAATATTAAATAGTTGTTGTGACAAGAGTTCTAATTTGCAAACACTTTAATCAAAAAAAAGGTCATGTGGCAAAACACCGGGATATTACACTTTCTAGAGAGCTCCTTTAATAGAGGTCACCGGCATTCAGAGATGTGACTGTGAAATTGATGCACACCTTTGCACATTTGCTGGGGTTTGAGGACGTAACCACAATTGCCATTTGTCTTGAATTTGGCTCGATTTAACTGCATCATTCGCCCTTCTGACTGGTAGTTCAGTGCCACTGTATGAGCAGAAAGTTTGAGAGAATTAGGCAAAACGGCCAGGTAGAGTCAGAATATACAGAGAACCGCTCCCCGCTCCTTCCCAAGGCATACGCACCTAACTGGCACCCTGCATTCCAGTAGGGCAGAGGGTTGAAGTTACTGGAATCAATGCGGTAGGCGGAGGGGTAAATCCTCGTGAGCTGCTTTTGGTTATAAATCATGAACTGCTCTGATTTCTGCTGAACCACCTGATGCGCTCTCGTTTCACTGAATGATAACACATTTCCCATGGTTCCTGGCAGTTTTTAATTAAAAAAGAAAAAGGAAAATGAGACCTACAGCAAAGTAAACCCCACTCACAAAAAACCTAATAACAATGTTAGATTGTACCAACAGCAAACAAAGCAGAATGGAAGAGTTTAGATTCAACCAGAGTAGAGGCAGCTCCTGACCAAAAAAGACCCATATAATTCCATTCTTAGGACTCTTTCGTTGTTTTGAGGCTAAATCAGAGCTGTGCAACTTGCTAGGATACCTGCCTATTTCTGGGTCCCATGTAATCCCAAGAATTCAGTCATCCCACTAATTCATGTCTGCTTGACGAGCATGAAGAGGGCAGTACAAACATTTTTTTCTAGGTGCATGAGTCAAACCGAATATTTTTGCCAAAGATACAGACAACCACAGATGAATAGAACTATTTAATTCCTGATAACAAGGAGACATTCATTGAAGGCATTCATGTAAAAAGCAAACATGTGGCACATGTACTAACTGATAACATTCAGGGTCCAAGAACATAAAGGAAAAAGACCAATCACAAAAAAGAAAAATTGAGTTTTAATGATGGTTTAAATAGAACTATGAACTAGTCAAAACTTGTTTGGGAGAAAAGAATAACAATGGAGAAAAAGAGTTCCAAACAGCATATAAACACATGAAGTTTCAGAAATAAGGACAATTAAGCACCTAGCCAGGTATATAAACTGTGTAAAGGAAGGTGAAAGTACATGAAGCCTGTACTAGAGTTTCTACTTGAAACTCATCAGAAGGGGTCAATCTAGCATCAAGGAAGCTGCAAATTTGGGGGTCATGAGGGAGCCAACCTACAAACATTTAACATTCTGCTCTTTTCTCCCAATTCCATCTTTCATACCAAATCTATAAGGTCCCTAACCATTCCCATTCCTTCACCAAACATCCATACTCTATTCCCAAATTTACCACCTGTGTGTTTTCTAGACCCGGTAGAAAAGGCCAGCCCAGATAAAGACCCAACTTGCCCAGAGACTCATGCTCATCCCAACTCTAACAAGCTGAGTGTGTCTAAACCCAGACTGAGAGACAAGGAGGTGCTACAGTCCTGCTGAGCCAGCTGGACCTGCACTGTATCTAGACCATGGACGTTTATCAGCACATGCAGTTTCCCAGGGCCCCATTGTCCACCCTTAGATTTTAAATGCTGGCCAACTGAATAACACCCCAGCCAGAGCTGGAACTTGAAATGGTCATAAATACAAGTGGAAGCAAAGAAGTCAGAGGAATTACAGTTACCTGATGATTTCTCTAGTACAGATTTCTCCTTTCCTTAAAATATATATATTCATACATACATATTATATCTACAAAACTCATGAACATAGTTTACATATCTCAAGCATACTAAAATTGAACTTATTTGTAGATTTTGAAGAGAATGCCTCAAACATGATAGAAGTCTTTTGACAAGCTTAATTCAGATGCAGTAGCACTGTAATCAATGCCATTGTTTTTTCTGTCTCTCCATATAATTATGCACACCACAGTATCATTAAGATAACCTTGCTAACTAGGCACATACCAATTAGCATATTAATAAAGTTGAGTTGCTCTGTATTAGGATAAACCATTCATTCATTATCTGTCATTCATTTTGTGGCCAGAAAATAAAAATGACAAAAACAGCTAAGTTCAAGAGCTGTATAGTACTCAAGATTATTTTCCATTAAGCTAGTAGGATACGGTTTCCAAAAACATTTGTTGAAAATTTTCACTCTCAACCAAATATACCTTTAACTTCATTCAAACACTCCCTGACTTTGAGCAGTGGGCAGTTACTACTAGAATGTGCTGCTCACTTGTGAGAATCCTACAGTTTCTCGTGCTGTGTGGGAAATAATTTAAATTGTGTATAATTGTCATCATTTGAAGAAGAATCAACACCGAGGGAAGAAACAAAATCTTCCTGCAAATAGAAAAAGACACATTTGTGGAGCAGAGGTGGGGGAAGATCCGAGGAAAGAATCCTGGAGATTGTGGGGACATAAGACTCACCACAATGTTGTTTACCCTTCACTAAGACTTGTTTAGAAAATGGAAGAGTCTGATTTACATTTCAATGCCTCCAAAGTTAAAATTAGATTGAAAAGCTGCATGACGGTATGTTATTTCTATAAGCATTCTGTAACTAAATGAAATAGAAGAGAAAGGGGAATAGAACAGCTAGCAGGAAAGTCAAGGTTAAGAACAGTTGTGACTAGAATTTCTCAGCTGGATGTGACAACTGGGAGGTGAGAAACAGTGAGTCAGTGCTACCAAGATTTCTCCCCTTTTTGTTAAAACTTCAATCCGTGATTAAACTATTTCCATCAAAGCCAAAACTTCCAATGAGAAAATATGGGGCTTTTCAAGGTGTTGCTTTAGCCAACTAATTTCTTCTTTCTTCTGGTCATTGACACTTGGAATGTTCATCCGTGACCTGGTCCTCAACCAGGCCAGGACTCCACAATTCAAGCACTGGAGGAAGAAGTTCCTTGGATGCATATGTCTTCTTATAATAATAAAGTCCTCGGCTCTGGGGGAAGTGTCTCTGACCTCTTGCCAATTAGGCAACCACAGCAATCAAGAGAGCCCTGCGTGTGAGCTCAGCATGATACCAACAGTCAGTTTCCTGACACTCAAATTAGTTTCCACACAGTCCCAGGAATGTGTGGTGACAATCAAATGAACAAGAACCTTTATCGAGAGCAGAAGAGAAAAACCTGTCAGTCCTTACTGTTAGGTTCCTGGAACTGAGAGCTTCACCTTCAGGAAGTTCCCACCCTTCAGTTTTGTTTCTCTAAGTTTGTTTCACAGGAGGAGGCTGTACCCGAAATGGAACATCGTAACTGTTTCTGGGGTTAGGCCAGATGCTAATCTTAACCCTATAAAAGAAGACACCCAACTGCCTCTCGGGGCTGATGCCATTTTTCGGCTCAGCCCAGCAGGTCTGCCTGCCACTTGCTAATCAACTCTTTTTCCATCCTTTGCCCGGCTAGAGTCTCCCTCCTCAGAGACCTGACACTTACCATCATCCACAATGTCCTGGGCTGCCACGGAGTTTGTGTACACAACCAAATCAGAGAGTTCTCGGCAGAGCTTCATGGTTTTCCTTCGGCGACCCAACCTGTGAAATACACACCCGAAACTCATGGCATTTTGGAGCTGGAAGAGGTTTGGGCTTTTGGTTACTCCACCTTTCCTACTGAAGAGAAGGATGAAGTGATCTGCCCCAGGTCTTCAGGGAGTCAGAGTTAGAACGCACGTGGGATCCCTGGCTCAGCACTCTTTCTACCACAACATCGTACTGACGATTTTATTCACGACTCTGCCAGGTATCAACAACCTCTTCTCGTGCACTTGTGACTTCTGTTGTGAAGGGCTTGGTGCCCCCTGTTACCCAGCTAGGAAGGAACACCAGAGTTCACAGGGAACTACTCTGCCTTGCAGGGAGGAGAACCTGGACTAACACGGTAAGGAATCACAGCACTGTGGATCACAAGAATTGTATACTTAAAGGGAAATATGCCAAATTTCCATAATGATTTTCTCTTAGAGATGCAATGACAAGTGGTTTTTATTTTCTTTTTTATATTTTTTCTATGTTCTTCCACTTTCTTATAACAAATACGTATTACTTTTTTCAGTGTTTTTTTTCTCTTAGGTATTTTCTAAGTTCTTTCCTACAAACCACTCCTACAATCTTCTCTACAACCTTATAAATCCTACCACTATTCTCTATCACAGTGAAGTCCTCCACAGACTATCATATTCCCTTCATGTACATGCTTTTCTCCTCAAGGGGATCATCTAACTATCAAAAACTCCAAACCTCACCAAAGAAGATATACAAATGGCCAAAAACCACATGAAGAGTTGCTCACGATCATTACTCATTAGGAAAAATACAAAACAAAACTGCAAAGTGATACCATGTCACATTGAAGTACACACCCAGGACTCATGACATTTTGAAACTGGAAGAGGTTTGGGCTTTTGGCTACTCCACCTTCCCTATTTAAGAGAACGATGAAGTGATCTATCCCAGATCACTAGGACAGTTATAACCAAAAAGACAGACAAAAACATGCGTTGGCCAGGATAAAGAGAAACTGGAACCCTGATACATTGCTGGGGACTATAAATGATACAACTGCTCTGGAAAATAGTTTGGTAGTTTCTCAAAAAGTTAAACAGTTATTACCCAGCAATTTCACTTCTAGGTATATACCTAAAAGAAATAACAATTACATCCACGTAAAAACTTATACAGGAATATTCGTAGCAGCATTATTCATAATAGCCAAAAAGCAAAAACAACCTAAGTGCACTTCGACCAATAAATGGATAAAGAAAATTCAGAATATCCATACGACGACATATTTTTCAGCAATAAAGTACTGATACATTCTACAACATGAATGCATCTTGAAAACGTTATAGTAAGTGAAGAAAGCAGACACAAAAGCCCAAATACTGTATGATTCTATTTATATGCAATATCCAAAAAAGACAAATCTATAGAGACAGAGAGTAAATTAGTGGTTGCCAGAGACTGAGGGATGGGGAGTGACTGCTAATAGCTATAGAGTTTCTTTCTGGGGTGATGAAATGTTCTGGAATTAGAGGCTGATATAGATTTATTTACTCATGAAAATTTACTGAGCACCTACCGGAGAGAAAACAAGAAACAAATAAAAAATCTCTGCCCTAATGGTGCTTTTATACATTCAATAGAAGAACTAGGAACAAAATGCTCTGATCGTTCATTTTCCCAGGAAAGGAGGCATGAACACAGAAAGGCGTAAAAATCAGTGGAAAGAAAGAATGCGCGCTTCTCCTCTACCACATAATTAGAAAATTCTGTAGCCGTTTGTGAAAATCTGGTTTTGTGAAGGCTGGTGAGTATAAATCAATGTGAGGCCATGCCTAGAAATTACAAGTAAAACTCCAAGGCACTCCTTGAAATGGAGAAATCCTGCATAAAGTTAGCTCTTTTTAATCTTCATCCTGGGATTGGATTAGGTTACTGAAGTCCCAAAAGGACACCATCACAGATGCTCAGGCCCTGGTAACTATTATGGGAAAGTATATAACTGACTCAAGAGCAGCATTCAACATGACTGCATGCAGTATCTGTAGGAACGGCTCATGTGCACATATTAAGATCACGGCAGCTTTCCTCGAACTCTGTACCTTCTCTGGTTCTATGTTTCAAAGTTAAGCTTTTCTCAAACTTATATTTGAGAATATTCACAACAGGGATCTCTTGGAAGGTGATCCTATTTCTCCTTTACCCTTTACTGCGACTACATATTCAATTCTCCGTCCCTAAGGGTAGAACCCAAATACATCTCCTATGCCCTAATTAGTTACTATTTTATGTATAGATATTCTGTGGGACCTCACATATACAGTTTAATCGAACACTAAAGTTTAATTCCTACAGGGCCTCTATACTTCTAGTTTTACTTAATTTCATCTTTCAATAAAGGTGCAGGTATATGTGTATTCATATCTACCTACCTACCTATCCATCTATCTATAGATAGGTATATCTATCTATCTGCAATATAATTTACATTCCTTTGTGAGACTTAAGGTATAAATAAACTGCCGGAAAATTCTATATAGGATCATGTGTCACAAGTTGGGTTCTGGACATATGGTCATTTTAGTCATCACAGATACTACCAATAATAATAAACAGCAGCTAATATTTTTGAACACATTTAATTGGGCCAGGGCTTACCAAGCTAAGAAGTTTAATTCTTTAATCCTTACAATAACCCTAAGAGATAGATACAAATGCAAAGCCTAACTTGCCCCATCTTTAAGATGGTAAGTGGAAGAACAAGAATTTGAAGTCTGGCTGATTTCAGATCCCTGGCTCTGAACCTGTGCTTGCATCTATCTTCTCCTTTGGTCTCCTGTGACAGCCCTGTGTACTAGTTCATGTGGCCCCTCGCTCTCCTCTGAAGATACCTTTTACCTGGCAAGGACTACTGCTAGCATTTACTAGGAGCTCATTATGTGCCAGGCACAGTGCTAAGTTCCCTGTGCATATTATCATCTCATATCCAGTTGATCTTCTTCTAGTCTCACTGCACTGAGTACTTTATCTTGTGATGCAATTCTCTAGACACACACAACTAGAACAACCAAGCTGGCAGGGATGGAGAGGACCCTGGAGTCTGAGTAAGAAACACAGAGACATTTTCTTACCTGTACAGCTGGCCACCGTCCCTGCCAGGATTCTGCTGTGTGTCCTCCTCCTCATCAGTACTGTAAGATTTAGGCCGTGACTTTGTGGTTTTCTGCCAGAAAAATCATAGTAAACTTAACAACGAACTGATTGCATCAGGTTATTTACAACCTACAGAGAATGGTCTGGGTTTTAAAATGCATGTACACACAAGCAAAACAACTTGGAGGGGGAAGAAAAGACCAAATATTGCAGCTTGCATTACCATTAATAATCAGCATGTCTAAGGTCATAATTATATTGAAATATTAATGCAAAACTGAGGGTTTCATGTTCAGAAACTGACTGCTAAGCCACATAAAATTGAGGTCTTAGAACAACGTTATTAGTCATGCATTTTGAAGGTCTCTACAAAAAGTAGGGTCAAAGTTGTAGCATCTATTTAATTGATTATAAGGAACAAAAATGCCCTTTTGTATAGGAAGCTCACTATTGATTAATGGTTCATAAAAGTCAGATTTTTTTTTTTTTAAAGAAAAGGACATGTAGGAACTTTTTAAAAAAGATAAATAACTACTATTCCTGCCTTTGATCAGTAGGCACTCAAATGATAAATGACCATCTAAATCAAACCACTCTTTTGAGATTTGACCCATTTTCATTTCTACCAGCAGAAAAAAAATTGCAACTCACAGGATACAGGCTGAAAGGCTCTATGACTAATCCGGTGTCTTTAACAGATTAGCCATTAGACACAAAATCTTTTGGGAGTGGGGCTGGCCCGGTGGCGCACTGCTACAGTGCGCCGCTTGGGAGTGCAGAGGCGCTCCCGCCGAGGGTTTGGATCCCACATACAGACCGGTTCCCGCTCACTGGCTGAGCGAGGTGTGGGAGCAACACCGAGGGTTGCGATCCCGTTGCCGGTCCCCGGTCCGGTACGGGCGCGACACTGAGGGTTGCGATCCGTTGCCGGACACGAAAAAAGACAAAAAGGAAAAAAAAAAAAATCTTTTGGGAGATGATGTGGTTTCATCCTAACCACTTTGGAGATAGCACCAATACTTAGGCAACACATAACTCCAGTACGAATGATGGGGACAGACCCCAGTAGTTGCAGAAAACCTTCCACCAAAAAATACAGCTTCTACTAACAAAGGTAAGACCTGTAGACAAAGTACCCTGGACATCTGAGGAATGTGGCTTAGAGAGGGAGAGGACTCCATCCCCATATTACCATAGGACCATGTCAACTTCCAGATTTTCTCATACCCGACAAATAAAAGAACAAGCTACATGTTTGCCTGAACATACTCAGTTCTCTTTTGCGCTGACAGTGAGGCACCAGTTTGGTTGGAAGCTTCTTGGGTGTTATTTATGCCTTGAGAGCCTGGTACGTGCTTGGTGTGGGAGCCCCGGAGTCTGATAAGCTCAGCCTTTCACCAGCTGGTAAATTGGCTAACCTCTCTAGCTTCTTATCATATGTTTTAAAAAGGGCGTGGCAATAACATCTATTTCAAAGGATTAATGCTGTGATGATTAAATGAGATGGCACAGAAAATCATTCTGTAACAACACCGAGGGTTGTGATCCCGTTGCCAGTCCCGGTCCGGTACGGGCGCAACACTGAGGGTTGCGATCCGTTGCCGGACACGAAAAAAGACAAAAAGGAAAAAAAAAAAAATCTTTTGGGAGATGATGTGGTTTCATCCTAACCACTTTGGAGATAGCACCAATACTTAGGCAACACATAACTCCAGTACGAATGATGGAAACAGACCCCAGTAGTTGCAGAAAACCTTCCACCAAAAAATACAGCTTCTACTAACAAAGGT